CTTAGTGTAGTGATGTGATCAACATGGTTGTCTAATGAAGGTGTAGACTCTGGTTCCAAATGAAAAATTGAGAACCCGTATATGAATAAAATAAAATTACATATAATAACAAACTCACATAGTTCAATAAAATTAGTTATGTTCAAGTGTTCACATACAAAAAAGCCATTATTTAAAATGACTACATATTGTTCCAAAAGGTGAAATCTCCCGCCCCAGGAGCTCCTCCACCCCGACCCGACAGGATGGTGGAGAAGTTAGTCACGGTGACTCAGTCAGCAGAATGGAAGTAGGCTCATACACTCGTGCGCACCAGAGGCCTAGCCTTATTTCAGGTTCTGTGACCTCCACCCGGTCGTTGCGGGGATTCGAACTTTGATTCATTGTTCCAAATCTTCACCACTCGACCAACTGAGCTACCTGTGCGGGTGAAAAAAAAATGACTACATATTAATATTATAAGGAGTAATATTAAAAAATTGGGCCTCCAATTTTGGTGGCCCCTGTTCCAAATGACCTTTTGAATCTGTCAAAAAAAGACCCCGGTAATCAGTGGCGGACACAAAAACGGCCCGGGTAATCACTGCAGGGGCCGGCCGCCGCCCTAGCAATTTTTTCTACTAGTTATATTTATTCCAAATTTTTAATGAACAGCTATTTAATACCTAACATATTTACAGTACCGCCCCTCCTCCTATCGAAATTTCTCCATCCGCGACCGGATGTAATGACATTGAAGTACTGAACCGTTTTCTCTGTTTCGCAACATATGTTTTAAACTTTCAAGTTGCATTTAAAGTGATTTGATTACACGGAGTAATATTTTTGCAACATTCCAACTGTTTTTTTTTCCAATCATTCTTGATGTACACACCTTATACACACCATGTATGTGAAGCATTTTTTTTTGTCTGTGAATCCGGTTCACAGACAATATTTTGTTTGTGCAAAACATTGTCTGTGAATCGATGTTCACAGACAAATAAAAAGCTTTCACAGACATAGGTGTGTACAAAAGTGTGTATAAGAGTGTGTACAAACATCATTTTTGTTTTTTTTTTAAATGTACTAATCACCACCCCGCCGCATACGCATGGCTTGTTGGCCAGCTAGCAAATTCTTCAGGTACATTGGTGTGGGCGTAGAAAATGAAATAATTGAGTAGAGAGAAGTAAGTTATTCAATGATCACGTACAAACAAAATGTTTTAAAAGTGACAAAAAATCGTACCTTTGCGGCTTTGCATGCAACCAGCTAAGGGTGTGTACACCCGCACGGATACTTCAGTTGATTGAGTGATGGAAAATTTGGATCAAGGGACTAAGGTATTAGAGAATAAATATTAATGTACATATTTATGCATGCACATGTATAACATTAGCTGTTAGTAAAATTATTCTTAGTTGTCATTCTTATCACTTAGTTGTAATTGTTAGATAGATCCTATTTTCTCTCCTTGTACATGTATATATATGAGCCATTGCTCACATGATTAATATACAATAATTAATCCTCTTCATGGTATCAAGAGCCTAACTCCCACGAGAACGCATCAATTTTCTTTTGTCCTCCACCATGACTACCATCACCGAAACTACTCAAGTGATTCCCATCACTACTACAAATTTTTTCCCTATCAAGCTCACACAATCCAATTTTTCTGTATGGAAGTGTCAAGTTCAATCCGTCCTCATCGGATTAGGACTTGATGGCTACCTTGACGGCACCATCGTACCACCAGCCCAATTCCTCGATGACGCAAAAACACGTCCAAACCCCTGTTACAATATTTGGTTCCGGCAAGACAAAACCCTCATGAGTGCCTTGCTCGGCAGTTGCTTGGTCCAACCTGTCATCTCTTCCGCTCGGACAGCAAAACAAGTCTGGGACAAGCTCTACCTTACATATGCAAGCACTTCACGAGGACGGATTATATCCCTCAAGAGCACTCTTGGTCGCACCAAAAAGGGCTCTCGCTCTATTACGGTGTACCTTGCTGAGATGGAGTCCAATTCCGAAGATCTTGCTCTGGCTCAAAGCCCCATATCTGAAGAAGATTTGGTGATCAGTATTCTGAATGGACTCGGGCCCGAATACAATGACATCACGGCCGTCGTTCGGGTACGTCCAACTGCTCTTCCTCTTCGAGAATTACGCAACATCTTACTGGATCATGAAACCAGTATCTCACAGCATGATTCAGTTGTCTCACTTATTCCAACAGTCAATGCTATGCCAATGTCCTCTCGGTCAACATCATCTGACCAATCATCTCAGTCTTAGGGTGATCGTCGACAGCCAGGGTACTGTCGTGTTCGTGGTGGCTCTCGACCTCAGGACCCCCGTTCATCCTCAACAGTAGTTTGCTAGTTTTGTAACAACATTGGTCATGATGTTAAGCAATGCCGCAAACTACAGCGGTTCCTACGTGAACATCAAATTCAGATCTCGGCCAGCCCACATGTTAATCACACGACTACTGATACTCCTTCGGATCATCAACCTTAGCTCCTTGACAGCGGAGCATCACACCATGTCACCACTGATGCGTCTCAATTACCACACTTTTCAAACTATGGCGGCCCCGAGGAAGTTCATCTAGGCAATGGTACGTCACTTGCTATCACGCACACTAGTTCAACCACCATCCTTACCCGTACTCGACCCCTTCATCTATCTCAAAATTTGTGTGTTTCTAGTCGCCGTAAAAATCTTATTTCTGTCTCTACATTATGTCATACTAATAATGTTTCAGTTGAATTTTTTGCTTCTCATTTTGTTGTCAAGGATCGAACGGGGGCGCCGCTCCTGTGCGGGGAGAACTTTAATGACATGTACTATGCACCTTCCACCAGTCCACCATGAGTTCATGTCTCTCAAGTGTCCAACCTCTCCATATGGCATGATATGTTTGGCCATCCGTCTTCTAGAATATTTCAATGTTTAGTTGCTCAGAATAAAAATTGAATTCTGTGCACTTCTGCTCCCTCACTCGTGTGTAATTCGTGTTTAATACTCCGTAAATAAAAAGCACTAAATTACCATTTTTTAGCAATTCCATGCATGCTTCAAAACCCTTGCAATTGATTTATTCCGATGTTTGGAGCACTACCAATATTTCTATTAATGAGTTTCGCTAGTATGTAATTTTTGTGGAACTTTATTCACGTTACATATGGCTTTATCCATTAAAACAAAATCAGATGTGTCTATTACTCCATCCGTCCCGCTAACAATGGGACACGAGGGTGACACGCAAATTAATAAAAAGTTGTTTATGTGGTTGATATTGAATTGATAAAGTAAGAATAAAGTAAGAATGATTTAGAGCCACACAAAATTTACCAAATTTGGTATGGGACAATCTTAGTGGGACGGACCGATAACGTAAAATGGGACAATCATAGCGGGACGGATGTAGTATTTTTCCTCAATTTCACAAGCTGGTGAAAAAATACCATCAGTTACCAATTATTTTGTTATTCACAGACAATGGCGGGGATTACATTAACCTTCATCAATATCTTATTTTGCACGGAATTCTCCACTTTACGCCACCTCCTCAAACCCCAGAACACAATGGCATTTCTGAGCGTCGTCACCGGCATATTGTGGACACTGGCCTTGCGCTCCTCCACTATGCTGGGTTACTCATATCTTACTGGTCATATGCGTTTCAAACCGCGGTGTATTTAATCAATCGACTACCTAAACCAATCCTTCAAAATAACACTCCATATTTATGTCTACATCAGTCTAAACCCAATTACACTAAGGCTATGTTTGGCATGCCACTTCAACTCAAAAAGGGCTGAAATTTTACAAATCCAGCTAATTATCGATCTTGAAAGTAGCCATGTTTGGACAAGTAGCTTAAGTGAGCTTAAACTGAAAAAAACTGACTGAAATGAAACGTTTCTCAAGCTAACGTTTCGTTTCAGTCGGTCATAGAGTAAACCTTCAATACCAATTCTATCCTTGGGCATATTTCGCAAGTCGATGCCGCAGTTCCCAAATGATTTCAATGAAGACGACGTCTCTGCTGCTGCCGGCGACTTCGACGAAGACCCCTCGCTGCTCCCGACGGCTGCAATTCGACGAAGGTGACGCCACAACTCCGGATTTCCGTCTCCTTAACCACGGATTCGTCTCCTTTGGCACCCATAAACTCGCTCATGTCGTAACTACTTATGAAGGCCATATCCTCAAGACTCTAATCCATTCCCCAAGACTATGGTTCCTCTGTTAAATTACTCCGTCGAGCTGTGAAGAGAACAAGAGGAAGAAGAAGCTTCAGTGAACAGTGTGTGGTAGCTCCGGTTCTTTGAGTGCGAAAATACGTAACGGGAAGGAGGAGTGCGAGGGAAAGAAAGAGAGGAAAGAAGGTAGGGGTAAATGGAATGGTATTTTTTTGGCTTTTATATGATTTACAATTTGTGTACATCTTGTGTACCCTAAGACAAATTGTAAAATCTAAGATAGGGGGTGTGCCTGAACAAACGAAGCACATCATGTTTTTTGTGGAATTCTTAAACTTCACTTGCCTAGATATGATGTAGACTCTTTTTTCTATATAAATAGCTATGTTGTAAAACCGGACCGTTGATCGACCCGACCGAATGACTGGATCACGGGTCAACCCGGACCCGACGGGTCAACCCGGTCAACGACGGAAAAACCCGGTCAACATTCATAAAATTTAATAGTTTTAAGTTTTAACATATATTAATATGAAATTAAAATAAAAGCTAATTAGTCTTCACAATAATGAAATAATGTTAATGTTTGGTAAACACTAAAAAACACAATATTTTAAAACGTGTTTTAGTCCCACTTAAGTCGTTATTTGATATTTATTTTGCTAATTTTATAAAATGATTTTGAAATGATTTTCTTTCTAGAATATACTTCGTATATTGAAATATATCACACACACATTTTTTTTAAAATAATTATTAACAAAACTATACTCATTACAAAATCATTAAAATAATGTGAGTATGTTTCACTTATATTTGGAAGTAAAATGATATCAATAACTTTTTGTTATAGTTTGTAGGTATTAAATAAATTTTTGTAATGATTACATAAAAGCTGTCGAAGGATTGGCAGAAGTGGCTAGAGAATCGTATTCGGAGGATATAAGTGCTCTGAAAGGCGATGAGTTTGCAGAAATATTGGTTCTTGAGGGGTGCTTTGTGGTTGAAATGTTTCTGTCATTCTGCTGGGTGGTTCCCTTCGATCAATGCAATGGATACGTTTTAGTCTCCTGGAGGACTTTCTGTGCCTCGAGAACCAAAAGCCAGACACCATAAACTCAACATCAACAAAATCAAGCTTGATGATGGTTCTTGGATTGACAATGTTTTTACTGAATCACATGAAATTGTGATTCAGTAATGTTGCTATTACCTTTTTCAAAGAGCTCCTTTCTTCTAATGATAGTAGAATGATCTTGATCCTACTGTCTATTTGAATATTCAATATTGTCATCCCTTTTATAACTCTCACACAATAAGTAATACCCTTCCCCTTGGTTCTTTAAGGCTTTGACTATAGTCTTCCAGGATGCTTTCACTTGACTTAGAGTGGGGTCCCCTTTCAAACATTTCTCACTTCCTCCTTCCAGCCACTTGAGGGTTAGATATCTGGAATTGGTCACCACAATTTCCCAAACTGTTAGGCCACTTTGTGCTGAATAAAAACAGTGCCCCTGGTAGCTATGGCTTTCATGGGTTCTTGGATTTACATTGTGTAAGTGCTGCTTTATTTAATTTTGATATCTCTATTAATTACTCAATGATTCCACATTAGTGCCAGTGCTGGTTGGTTTGGTGCCAAAACGGCTGAACGGCTGCCAGAGCATATGCTTCCCAGTGTTGAATAGAAATCTGAAACATGAACAAACCTGGGGAAGATCCGAAGATGGACCCACTCAGGCCACTCTTTGCCGATCATGAAAGTGAAGGGGAACAGGGCTACAAGGCTGCCACGAATGAAAAGAAAAACAAAGAGAAAAAGGAGAAAAAAAACTTGCCATGTGGGCTTCCACAAGGCTGCCACGCGTGCAAGTAACTGGGGAACCTGTAACTTACCTGCTAAGTAGTCCAATTGAGCGTTTTTTAAAAGTACGAGGATTCAATTGGGTGTTTATAAAGGAGAAATGGTCTTCAATAGGACTGAAAAACTACTTATTGACCCGTATAGGACCATATAGGACCATTTTTAACTCTTCTACTTCTTTTGCCCCTGATTTAATTTCTTGAATCCAATTAGTCACCCGATAATGCCAGCCATTATTGACCACTCCTTGTGTTCTTTCTCTTGTCTCTCGTCCAGGTAGTTCTTCTCCGAAGCGGAATGGCAGCCCATGAGCAAGAGGGCGTTCGGCGGCGGAGCACACGACGGACTAACCATCACGATCGCTAAACCTAGTTGTCTGGTAGTTGGATGTTGATGACTAGGCTTCCATGTATGCCGGCAGAGGAGGTTATTGGCCATCAACAATTGCAGTTTGCACAGATACCGTTTTCTCGGTTCAAAGTTCATATTGAGGATACAGGTTGTACAATCACTCTTAACTTGGGGGCGAACCGTGGGATTTACTTGACCTGACATGTAGAACTCGCCGCCGACTAATTTTCCTTGTTGGAGAACGATGAAGGAGGCCATCGACAGCCCAAAAGATTTTCATATTGTGGGCTCTAGGTATGCTGTTTAAAGAATAACCGATAAAAGAAAAACAAATAAATAATGTTGATCTCCTTCGTGCAGTATTGGATAAGTAACAAATCTCTTTCAATTGTGTTCGGATAAGGACAATATTGGATTGAGATGAATGAAGAGAGACAAGTAGTAGAAGTGTAGCCACAAGTAGGGATTGGAAGAAGGTAGCGCAATGTGGAGTTAAAAAGTTCATTGAAATACAAATAATTTCATACGGAGTAATATTGAAATTCATAGAACTCTTTACAAGAATTTCATTGAATCTCTAGAATTCCAATAAAATTCATAAAATCCACAATCTTTAAATGTCCATCAAAACCATTGTTGGGGACACTCCCCTCAACTGATTTTTTTTTTCACTTAAACAATTATATAATTGATAGGGATCAGTTAACTGTTTGATCAACTAAACATCATAAATCAAACAAGGACCTTTACCTGAGACGGAGCGGTTATACAATTCTTGAACTTCAATTGCCTAAAAATGATGTGAATTCTTTTATCTCAATAATTAGGTTTATATATCTTTTTCATTATGATTTAAATTTTCTTGCAGCTTTAAATAACTATGTAATTGACATGTTGCTTTTGTCAACTTTTCTTGCTCTAACTTCCAAACCACACCCAGTTCAACCAGTTTCAAACAACATCTCAACATTGGTACACTGCAGCATGTTTAACTTATTCATTTCAATAACTATGGTGTGTTCAATCCAACAACATTTGTGTGCGCCAGTTCATACTATACATAAAATAGTACCAACCAAGAACAAATCATGAAAACACTACTGAAGTCATAATGGACATCTTCCCGTTGCGCAATGCGCGTGGCACAACTAGCATATTTATTGATATAGATTGTTACAATTATCGAAAGATAAAAAATTGTTATCTCACCATAGCCAATGAAATGATTAACCTGAAAAAAGGTAGGAGTTTCAACATTAAGAACCGTACACTACCTTATTCTTTAAATAATAAACTTACATATTACTCCCAAGATCGGTACATGAAGCATCTACAATACAATTAGGCGGAACACCCGTCCAGTCGTCCACGAAAAGCAATCTGTCCAACAAATGACATGCCCCAATAAGACTAAGAAGCATGATTCACAGGTTGTTTAGAATGCTTAAAATCCGATCAAAGTGGTACTAAGTGGTCTCATAACTCTCAACAGAACATCAATGGGTGGCTCAAAAGAAAAGGCATATCCTTGCTTCAACTACCACTCTTTGTTTAATGATTCTGCTACAAGGAGAAAGTACCAAAGTGAGAATAAGGCAGCCACTCACCCACTCAGGATAAGATGCTTTGGGAATGGGTACCGATCAGAAATGTTCTTAAAGGTTCATTTCATTTCCTCCCTTATATAAATGTATGCTTGTAGTAGTCGTGCGCGTACTCTATTTTTTCACAAGAATTTGTCCTCAAAATTTCAAATTCAAAAAACTTCAACTGCTCTTGTATTTATCTGCATCATCTTTGGGTGCTAAGCCTATTTCCTGCATTTGATGTTCAGGGGAAACCAAACCAGTCTCGGCAAGAAACCTGTAGAATCAAAGAAGCATATAAATCTAAATAGTAAATCTTTTCAAATACCAGTCACTACAATTCAAGTACCAGGCTTGCTCCATAAATTAAAAAAACTGGTAAATGATGCTAATCTTAAATTTAACAAAATCCAAATAAGTGCAGAAACATATATTTGGAGTAACTTAAGGCTTTGAACTACTGGACTGGAAGCTGTGGCAAGCTAATGCTAGCAGAGTTAGCAAGTTGTAATTTGTCAACCGTGCACAAAGTAGTGGAGAGTTACTAGTTGCAAACTCTAAAGAGTAACCAAGGGAAGCAAGTATTGCAGATAATCATAAATTGCGAATTCTAAGCATCAGAAGGTTAAACAGTTCACACATTGTCTGCAGAAAAAACACGCAGGAATAGGAGATTAAAATGTGATATCAAAATTGCTAACGATTCTCAACCACAATATATAAGGTAGCGATTTTTCAACTGTCCTAAATGAAATGGTTGTTTCCTTTTATTTTAAAATAATTACAAAAATACCACTTTGTTAATATCACCCATTGATTGGAAATATAAAAAAGTTGGAGGCAAAAGGTTATCATTTATAAAGATTTACTCATTGTAAGATGTGTAATGTGTTTGCATACTCTCCTGTGTATATATGTATGTGTATATCCATTGACACACACATATATGGTAGAAAAAATAAAATAAATTAAACCATAAAATAAATTAAACCAAGCAATCTTGTAGTTGCAATTTGAAATAGGTTCTGAGGATGGTGAGATGTATGTTGGCGTGCCTCTACTAGTAGAAACTGGACAGTTTTCAAACTTGCCTTGATAGTATGGGCTTCTTTAATTGTGGAAGAAGAGTGGCTCGACTCTCGATCCACAAGAAAATTCAAAGAGATAAGTCTATTATAGATGAATACTACGTATCAACCAATTATTTTAGACAAAAAAATTGAAGTATTAATGGGAGTTTATTATCATCAAAACTCTCTTAAGATGGTACATTTTGAATGTCGAGAATTTCTGGTAAAAACCAGTCACAGATTCACAGAACAAGAGACTATAATGGCCTTCTCTAAACTCTAATCCAATTGAGTAATGAGGCACATCAGTTGTTATCTAAAAATGAATTACACAATCTGTACATACTGCATGATTCATCAAATACAATGCAGAATGAATCATACAAGTTATGAAATCAATTGAATAAATCAATCACTTAAGCATGAGAATAAATTCAAATTTTCAATTTGACCTGCAAAGCATACAGAAAAGGCTCCCAGTTATAAAAACAAGGAAAGTCACATGGAGAGTCAACATATAGTCACTTGAAGAGAAAGCCAATCCCAGCATAGCAGCCAGGCACACTGCCAGCATCAGGAATGCAATCTTCAAAGCATTCCAAGTTGGAGCCTAAGATCAAATTAGAAAATGTCCTCAAAATCAGAAAAGTTCAAATACTCAGGGATTGAAACTTAATCAAGAAATTAATTATGGGGCAGTGAAGACAATAGCAAAAATCGAACGGACATTGACGCCTGGAGCTAGAGCGCCAACCAAGACAGCTTGCAGTGGCGAAAGTTCTTCTCTTTCAGATTGCTTCGTTTCCATTGAATCTGTAATCGGAGAGCTTAATTAGATCCCTGACAAATGATTGGACAAGCAACACAGGAGGAGGCGAGCAAAAAATTGTGATTTGCAGATTTGGAGTTGGTTTGACGGCTTGTATTTGGTCTACGGGAATTTATTTACCGTATCCTGGTAGACTTTGTGATGTGCAAAGTAAGTGAGAAATAAGAACAGTAAAAAGTGTTTGAGATTTGTAGAGATAGAAATGTGCAGATCCACAAATTACTTGCTTTAATATGAATGTGACAAATTTTTTTTGAGACAACGAAAAAATGAAAGTTGTCAAAGTCCAATGGGACGGAGGAAGTATTAATTAATTGAAACTAGCACTAAGAGCCCTTTTGCTAGCATGAAAATCGATGAATTCGACTGATTCTGCTTAAATTTATGAACTTCTGGCTATAGTGGTCTCATTGCTGATTCTGCTGATTTAAGAAAAAATTATTTTAAAATATATTTTATTAATAAATAAGAAAAAATTATATGTAAAAATAGCTAAAATGGTCATTTACAGTAACTTTAGAAAAGTAACTTCAACCTTACTTTTTCTTATTATTACACAATTCAGCGCGCGAAAACAAAAATTACGTGTTTGGTGAAAAAGTTGGCTAATAAGTCTGATAGGCCGAAAAACAGTGTTATCAAATGGCCTCTAATTCAGGAATAATCTCAAATTTGCGCTTCATCTTCTTTCATCGGTCTCTGATTGTTTGATGACCTGCTATTTCAGGATATTTTTCCATATGGTTTTTTTTTTTTTTCTAAAAGTTTTCTCTTTTTTTTCTTTATCATCAGAATGCTTTTATTTCTTTTTCTTCTCTTTTATTTTCAGTTTATGTATTTCTTTATCCATTTAGGAAAGAGTTTTTTATAAAATTTTCTTTTGATAATTTTTCCTTTTTGTTTTGTTCCTCCATATTTATTTCATTTCCTTTTTATGTATTTCTATACGTTGTAGTATCTTTTTATAATTTTGTCTCGGGTACTTATTTATATGTTTTCTGTAATTTTTCAAAAAGACGGAAATATATTGATGGTGGAATCAAGGTAACAAAAGGAAAAATGAAATAAATAAGTAGAAATAAAAACAGAGTAAAGTAAAAAAGTAGTAGGGTGAGAAAAAGGTATTTTATAAGAAGAAAATTATTCTGAAACAATACATAAAATGGAAATAAAACAATAAATGAGAAGAAAAAAGAAAAAAATGGAATACATAAACATGAAAAAAAAGAATAAGAAGATGAAAAAAGAGAATAAAATAGTCAAGAGGATAAAAATAAAACGACAAAACTTTTAGGTAGAAAAAAGAAAATGTGATATGTGGACATTTTGAGAAGATTTGTGAGAGGTGTTATTTATTGTTTAATGTTTTGGGAAAATAACCTGAAATAGCTGGTCATCAACCCTGACCAATGAATGAAGACGGGGCGCAAAAGTGAGATTAGGATGTTTTTACTTGGAATGTAATTTGCTGGTCTTGTTTCGTTTGGTCTCTTTATGTTTGGCCTGGTCTTGTATGATAAATGTCTGGTATCTTTGTATTTTATGACTACGGAAGTATTGTCTGGTCTGGTTTAGTCTGTTTAAGTCTGGTTTGGTCTAGTTTAGTCTGTTTAAGTCTGGTCTGATCTGGTTTAGGACTAAAAAGTCCAAGTAAAAACATCCTTATTCCTGAAATTATTGTTATGTGGTATTATTGTAAGAAGACCGCTAAAAGGTTGGATTATTAGTTTCCATTTTTCTTTTATTATATATAAAAAAGCAAATAACTCATATGTGGCTTCTCTCCTTATTTAGCTCCATTTCTATAACTTTGTCATGTAGCAACTTATACTTCTTTCTTTCTAATAATTTTGACACACATGGAATATCATAAGCAAGCTACCCAAGCACAAATAACTTGGTGGGTCCCATGTTAAAATCTAATTTTTCTTTAAAGTGTTTTAACTTTTTCATCATTTGTCGAGTTTATAAAATACTACGTATATGAAAATTTAAAATTTTTGATGATCTTTCATATGAAATCAGTATTGCCTATATAAATTTTAAAAAACAAATTTAAAGATTATTAAACAATCTTCTTAATTTTCAACCTCAAAAACGATATTTTCATACTCAATAAAAAAATACCAAATATATGATCTAAATAAGGATAGTTGATAACATGATATAAAATGGTATTTTGATATAAAGTTGTATTTTGATATAAAATTGTATTTTGATATAAATATCTATTTATATAAGTAGTATAAGAAAGTAGATATCTCATCAAAATGGTTTTGATGAGATATCTACTTTCTTATACTCCCTCCGTCCCCCCTAATATTGGTACGGAAGGGAGTGATGTGATTTTTAAGAAAAGTAGAATTATGTGGTTGGTAATGAGTTGATAAAGTGGAAATAAAGTAAGAATGAATTAGAGCCACACAAATGTTAACAAATATGATATGAGACAATAATAAATGGACATACAAAAATGGAAAAATGGGACAATTATAGGGGGACGGAGGGAGTACTACTTATATAAATAGATATTTATATCAAAATACAATTTTATATCAAAATACCATTTTATTGCAAATTATTTATAAGACAAATTACTTTGCTTTTAGTACACACACCCCTTATTTAGACCAATGTAGTCATCTATACTTTTCAATATCAGTTTTAGCCATCTATCTTTTTTAGTATAATTTTTTCTTTATTTTAATAATAAAAAATACTACCTCCATCACAAAAAACTTTGTTATATTTAAAACTTTGACAAACTACATAGTATATATTTTTATTGCAATTTGTTTATAATATATATATAAATGATATGAAAACATTCTTTGTTAAAAGTACTTCCATAAAAGTATAAGATTTATAACTTCCATAATATTATACTAATCAGAATCATGTTTCAAATTTTATGAAATGACAAAGTTTTTTAAGACGGAGGTAATATGATTTAAAATAAAAATTTCGATAATGTAGCAAGTTCAGTCGATTTGATCAGAACTTCATCAACTTCAGTAGATTCAACCAATTTTAATGTCATTAAATGGGCTCTAATTAAATAAAAATCTAATATAATTGAAGAAGATGTTCAATATTTGTAGTATAGTTAGTGTAAAATAGGCCCATGATATTAAATATAGCTTGGTCTATTAAAATTGCTCAATGAGATTCTTACATGACATAATAGTAGGATATATATACATAGAGAGAGAGAGCGATTCCGCTAAGAACGGACTCCCAGGAGAGAAATAAGAATGAATCTGGATCGTTGGATTGTATTATGTGGAACGGAAATGTGCATTTGATAAAACTGAATGCGTATTACATGATACTGAAATGTGCAGAATAAAAATTTAAACTCAATTGTGCATTAGGTGAAACTGAAATGTGCGGAATAAAATGTACAAAAATAACATCACATCGTACCTTTTATTCTGTACATTTCAGTTTCACCTAGTGCACATTTCAATTTCACCTAATGCACAATTCAACTTCACTTAATGACATTGTATCATACGCTTTGTGTTGCACATTTCAATTTTACCTAATGCACGTTACAGTTTCATCTAATGCACATTGAATTTCACTTAAAGCAAATCTAACGGTCCAGATTCGTTCTCATTTCTCTCCTAAGATCATGTTCTTATTTAAACCAAAACCTATATACACACACACACACACGCATATAGGGATCGATTCCGGTAAGAACGGACTCCCAGGAGAGAAATGAGAATGAATCTGGACCGTTGGATTATATTATGTGGAACTAAATTATGCATTTGGTGAAACTGAAATGTGCAGAATAAAAGGTACAAAAATAATATTACATCGTACCTTTTATTCTGCAAATTTTAGTTTCACCTAGTGCACATTTCAATTTCACCTAATGCCCAATTTAGTTTCACATAATGCAACTGTATCGTAACTTTTGTGTTACACATTTCAATTTCACCTAATGCACATTACGCTTTCATTTAATGCACATTGAATTTCACTTAAATCAAATCTAATGATCCACATTCATTCTCATTTCTCTCCTAAGATCATGTTCTTATTTGAACCAAAATCTATGAGAGAGAGAGCACTCTTCTGGTCAGGAATTCATGACCAGAACCGCCGTTCGGTTGGTGGGGTTTGAGGATCTTCTCGGTGGAATTGTTTTATGAAATTTTTATGGCATGTTCCACATCACGCCTAGTTTATCCACAAAACATTTCAGCTAAAACTTCAATCAGGAAGGCTGTCAAATGATTTTTGAAAGATAATTGCACCGGAATATACATATAAAACGCAGTTAACTTCCAAAAATTATTTGACAATCTTCTCGATTGAATTTTTAGCTGAATTGTATTGTGAGTAAACTAGACCTGATGAAGAACATGACATAAAATTTCATCAAAAAAGTCAACCAGGAAGACATCGAAATGCCACCATCAGGACGACGGTTCTGGTCTGGAATTCGGGACCTGAACATTTCTCTCTATATATATAATTAGGATAGACAATTATTTTTCTTATCACCGTCTTCATCACATGATCTTTACATTTATTTTTATTTTCAAAGATGTTATAAGAACTAAAGTCGGCCTGTAAAATTAAGTTATAGTGAGGATATATAAAACATATAGTCCACTAGGAAATGAACAAACTCAACTTGATAGTGCAGTGATTGAATTTGGTTATCATTATGGACTTCATATTCAAAAGAGATAGACTAACAAAAGAGTTTCATATGATTCATAATCTAGCAATTGGAAGAATATTTGAACAAAAAAATGTACATCTCTTACTAAAGAACCAGTCAAAATGTTGTGTACACGCTCCGGGTACATGCCCCTCTTTTGACTGTGTACAAGTATTTTTTTCTTTTTTGTAAAGAGAATTGTTTGTGAAATAAAAAACATGATTTCACGTCAACAAAAGCGGGTGTACGAGGTTGGGCGTGTACAAAAGGAACTATTGTGCTACTAGAGCTTTGGTTGTTTCATTTCGTGCAAATTAGGTGTTGGGGAAAATACGAGCTCCGACCTCTTCCAGGATCACGAGTTCAAAGGACTCCTGCACACACACTCGTAATACAAAGGCTCCATC